TCCGCATCGAAAAAGTACTTTAATGTCAGCTCAGCAAAGACAAACCAGCTGGTGTTTTTTAAGAGAAATTAATTACATTTGAACAAATCTTGTGTCTGTAAGAGGCAATAAAACTTTGAATTTACATCGTTTGGCTATGCTCAATGACTCACCCAAAACTAAGAGGAATCTTCAATTTAAGACCATGTAGTCTGCACTACTACCAAAATATTTGGCCATATGGAATATTAAAATCATCATTGACTCCACAATCTTTCATGAGAATGACAAGGCGTTATCACTTAAAAGCTTATGCCCCCATAGTCATTTGCGTATTCTATAATGGCCAAAAGATAACCAAAATATGTAGAAAGATAGACATTTTTCACAGAAGATGTCAAGATTTCAAGATCAGTTCGAGCGTTGATTGCACAGCAAACAGTTACAAAAAGTTCCTTTCCACACTATTATACAAATTTTGTGAGTTATGGCTTCTACAAGTGAAAAGTATACGACAAGAGATGATATCGGAGATGAAGCAGCACTCCCGGGTTTTGCTGAACACGATGAACAAGATGACATGATCGAAGAAAGCGAAGAAGTGCAAGTCACATCAAAGAATTTGAATGTGGCAACCGCCTAGTGTAGGATGAGTGAAGCTCAATGACTGCAATGAGTGAATTACTCAGGTTAATGCAGCAAATGTCAGTATCCTCTACAGTAGAATCTACTCGTAAGAGGAAAGCAAGTGCTTTAATCCCTGAATAAGGGCATGACGCAGATTGTGAAGTCTTGTTGGCACAAACGAAGAACCTTTGACCAAGCGCAATTCTGAAGCAGAACAACAACAGTGGGCCCGTTGCTGGAAGTGATTTCGCAGACTCTAGACGAAACTGAGTAAACTTCACAAATGGTCAACGAGAAGTTCGCCTAAATTATCAACCAGCGCTGGCTAAATAAGCTGAGCGACGAGCAATTTAAGGAAAAACAGGCTAAATATTTTAGGCCTAAGAACTGCGCTCGCCTTATTGTACCTAAGGTAAACCCCGAAATTTGGGGAAAATTAGACCGCACAGCTAGAGGGCGCGATTTACAATTGAGTGCCATTCAATCAGCCCTGACGAATGTCGGCAATATAACAGCACAAACCACAAATGAACTGTTGGTTGCCAGCAGCGAAATGAATATTGATAATCTTGTTCGTATGAACGCTGATATCATAGCGATCCTGGGACATGTAAGTTTTTTCAATTGTCTCAACGACGTGACGCTATACGTCCCAATCTCTATAGAGAATTTAGTACTTAATGCGCATCGCATGTTCCCATTACGAAATATTTGTTTGGAGATGAATTGCAAACCCAAATTAATCACATTCGCACATCCAACAAGATTGGAAACGCGACAACAAGCTCTTCTAATACCACTTGGCAGCAACATTCCAAACAAGGGAAAAAACAATGGCGCCCTTTTTATCCCATCATCAGGGCAACACCCCCTATTGGTCAAAGAGGAACCAATTCGGGATGAAACGATCGGACACAATGAACGATCGCAAGTAGAAAACACAGAATTTTTAAGAAATTTTATGACTTTACAGGTAAACCACTATTCTTCTTTTGTACCCACGCTAATAGCGTATTTGAATAAAAGCTTGGAGACCTATCACGCTGGCAGCATATCAAATTGTTTAAGTGCATGGGAAACACTCACCTCTGATAAGGAAATCTTAGAGACAGTGTCTGGACAAAAAATTGAATTTGACACAATTCCGATTCAAGAGCTTTACCAAAGCAAATATAGCTACACGAGGTTGAAATGAACAATATTGATTTAGAACTAAACAAATTACGCAAAAAAAGGCATTTTGCAGATTTCCTACCCTGAATCAGGGGAATTTGTATCCATAATTTTCACTTGCCCCCAAAAAGGCGGTTCTTTTCGCATGATTTTTAATCTGAAATCCTTAAACAGGCATGTCAGATATCACCATTTTAAAATGCACTGTGTTTGGTCAGCTATTAGGCTTATGAAACCAAATTGTTTCATGGCATCCATCGATCTCAAAGATGCGTACTATTCCGTACCTATTCACCCACCTATTCATTCGGGCTTATCCACCAGAGCCTGGTTATGTGTATTCAATTACTTGTCCCATTATCTAAATGCCACAGCACCCATGCGAAATGGTGCAAGACAACTCCTATTAAGCTATCTCAAACCTTATCATTCGGTCACTTCAGCGACCATTTCCCGATGGTTAAAATACGTGTTAAAGGATGCTGGTATAAATACTGAGGTTTACAGTGCACACAGTACTAGAACTGCATCAACTTCCGCGGCAAACGCATTGAATATTTCTATAGACACTATTAAGAATTCAGCTATATGGCGTAATAAACAAACATTTTATAATAAACCAATTGAGGCGAAGAACTTTGGCAATGATCTACTTTCTGCCTATTGTGCGACATGAAATGTGAAATTTAAATTATATTATTTTGTTATTAGTTATTGCTCCTGTCCACATTGCTTTAAAATGTAACATGCCTTCCTAGTGACGTAGAACAGTCACGAAATACAATTAGAAAATTAAACGAGACACCTGAAGTCGAAGTTTGATTGAAATTCTATGAGTTACTGTTCAGGAGCTAGAAGTCCTACCATTACAAACTTACTTCTTTTCAAATGATGTCAAATACTACCTTGCCTACCAATATGTATGTGGACGCTCGCAATTTTTTTAAAAATTGATCTTGATATCGCGCGCTCTATCTCACATGACTTCCTAGTTCCTGAACAGTAACTCGTAGAATTTCAATCAAACTTCGACTTCAGGTAAGTCTCGTTTAATTATCTAATTACTGTCGCATCTTTTGTCTATGCTAACACCAAACTTTTTAGTTTATTTTTTCCAGAACACTAAGATGAAATTTTTATTGGTTTAAGTCAAATTCGATGATCACCGATATTTTATTATAAAGAAAAACAATAAATCGTGAACTGATTGATCTAGCTTGTTTTATATTTGCCTCAGTGTGCAAAACAATCTGATCACTATCAATTAAATCAATCTCAACCTTCGATCTCTAGTTCTCTTAAAGGTATCCATGATTTTCATAAGAATGGGAAAACACGGTTACATGTTTTATTTTTATGAAATATTTACAGAATGTGAACTTATATGTAAACCATGCAATGTTCTTTCTTCTTGTTAACTCTTCCTATTTATAATTTAGTACTAAAATGACATCAATTTATTAGCAGGGATTGTGGTAGTTAGAATGGCGTAGCTACTACAAGGTCTTTCAAAAACTGAACAGTTTGGAAAACGTCACTAAAGACATCTGATTGCAAGATCTGCAAAAACATTTGTTAGAAATAGTTAGTTAGACAATGGTCTATCTGACAGTGAAATTATCACCAACAATAACAATTTTCAAAATGAGAATTGTTGTTACCTTCTAAAATTTTTAAATAGCTTGCGCACGAAAATGAGACATTTAAAAGTAATTACAACACACACACATTCAAAATATGGCTCGTTGTTCAAAAGTGCTAAATATTAAAATTTTTTTTTGAATGCTGTTTCAAACTCCTCATGAATTATGAATAAATTTGAGCTAAAGATAATTTAAATAATGAAATATGAATAATTAATAAAGGTTTGCTTAGCGTTCTTTTATGTTTTGACAAATTTTGCAAAACTTTTTGGCTTGAACAATATGTGCCATATTTTAACCCTATGAGTTCAAATTGCTTTTAACTAAGTCATTTTTGTGCGCAATCTATTTCAAAATGCTTCTGGTAACACAATTCTCATTCTTAAAATTGTTACTATTTACAAAATTTTACTGTCAGATGATTCATTGGAAGTCTAACAATCTATTCCATCAATGGATTTTGCAAATCCTACAAGCTGACAGCATAAGCAACGTTTTCTATCCGTTAAATTTTTTCGACTGCTATAGTCGTAATACGTATGATACTATGTTAATTTTTCTTTGTTCACGTACTATAAAAGAATAAATTTCTAACAAAATGAATAATAATAATGTCCTCAAATTCACATTTCGAGACTAAAATTTGCTGGCAGGCTACGCTACTGACTGAGTATTTATCGCCAACTATATCCTCACCGTAAAGCAAATAAACAATTGCTTCTTGCAAATGATTATCAGTAAACGTAAATTCCTCACATGCAGAGATGTAACTAGAACGTGAATTGGAGTGTATATTCATATATTACGTTGTGCCATATTAATTTCTTTTGAAAGTATTTTGAATTCAAAAGAAATCAGTAGGGCACAGCTGAATATATGAATATAGACCTCCCAATTAACGTTCTAGTTACGTCTCTGCTCACATGAACTTTGTACTCTTTATTAAATGAATAATCAAACATCGACATTCGAACGATCTTTAATATACAGCATAAACAAAACATAGCATACACATTACATGAAACAAAGTGACCATAACCTTCGTCCAAAGTTAATAAAATAACAACGACGTTGCATGATTACTATGTTGATGCACATTGTAACATTACAGTACTCCAGCTGTTTGTGTGAGTGCAATCTATTAAAAGAATAGAAAAGAAGAACTGAAGGAAGTTTCAATCAAACAAAAGACCGAGCCAATCAAAGACAAAGGAGACGCTTGACAAATCAAACTTAATGCATTAATATGGCTACACAATGCCCAACGCAGAATTATAAATAAAGGGTGTTTCAATGGATAGTTCTTGTTTTAACTAGAAAAATCATTGTGGAGCTGAAGCAAAGCAATTTCACCCAAACGATTGGATGAAATATGAAAACAAAGCATATGATTGGTTGAAACTGACTAAAAATATCACAGACTACACTGCAAGAGTTTACTTGTAACTGCAATAGCTGACAGAGAGGATAAGTTTTCGTCCTATAAAAACGTAAAATAATGTACATCGCTACTCTCAGATTATTTTACTTTTCTAATAAAAGTCATCTACTGCAATTATAATGATGACAAAATGCCATGTTGAAGTTAAAAGACAAAGCAAAAGAAAGGTTTGTGGTAATCACTTGTATTATCATTTGATATTTTAGATACGATATGTTGTGTTGAAATGTGGCATATTTTATGATTACTGATCATATTTAGGTTGCATTGAAGTAACCTATAAAAGAACTAATAAAAATCTTAACCAGTTGAAAACAATTTTCCCTACTCATACTAGCTCACACATACACGTACACTACTACGCACTCATTAAATAATGATTTGTATGATTTTTTTGTTTTGAACTCTTTTGTACCCCAAATTTTGAGTTTGTTTTGTCATTGCTCAACTGTTCGAAGGAGTTTGATTTCCCAAACCTTGGTAGCTGAAGATTTGAGAAACTTGAAATGATTCAGACAGATTTAACTAAGAGAGTATTTATCATCTAGCAAATTTACTTTGGCATTTTCTCAACATTCGGACTTTGCATGGATAGGAAATACACAAACTTACTTCGTATGGCGCTTAATGAAAGATTTATGAGTTTTTGTAATTTCAAATTTGTACTCCTTTCCATATTTTAAATCGTTTCACGTTTCACTGAATTTAAGCTAGCCGCGATTTATTTCTTTATAGTTAAACTTTAACTGTTTGTTAAGTATTTTTAAGAGACAGAATGGCAAAGTAACAAGTTGTCGAGGACTTCCAGGACTTCCAGGCAGAGATGGTGAGTTATACAAAATTCTTTACTTTTGAAGTTGTGAAATATTTTAAGAGAATGTTTACTACCACAACGTAGCTCTATTACTACTGAATCTAATTTTCTAAAATAACCTTACAATTTAGGGCGTGATGGCAGAGATGCTTCATTGCGTGGTGAGTTCCTTTTAACAGAGGTCATTTTCTTTTTATCCGTAGTTCATGTGTGGTTAAATGCATTTCCTGGAAACTCTGTTAAATCTTTTATTAACTCTTATACCCTTCTTAGTTAAATAAACTACTTGATCGATTTTGACAAAATAGCTTATAAACTCGTATAAATGGTCAGATCTTTATGCATGCATTTTTTTTTTGTCGTGTTTTGTGTGATAGCAGATTGTGTTGAAGAAATGGATGAGATATTCAAGCTTTTGTGCTTTTTTAATTGCGGAATATTTTTAACGAGTTATTAATTTTATTATTAACGCTTTAGTATAGACGCGTTAATATTATATTCATAAAGCATGTCATCGCTAAAGTGCGATATTTATTCTGACTGGTTTGATATTATGTGACTAAATGTATAGATTTAGATGACTTGTGACATCTTAGATGGCCTGTGCTCTTGGTTTTGGAAAAGTTGCAATATTCTTGAGAAATTTTTAGAGGGTCAATAATAATCGCAATGCAAAGAAATTGATTACACCAACAATACATCGAAATAAACAAACATGAGGTTTAAAACTTGCATTTCACATCACCTATGAACCACTATGAACGTATGACATAGCACAATAATCATATTTATACATAACACAATAATCTCTTTACACTTGCATTTGCTCATCACAAAATAATAAATGATATAAGAAAATCATAAATATTGTTATGAAATTATGAAAAATTTGACGCTTTCAAAAGTTGATAACATTCTTAAACAGTCTCTAAGCGTTATAAATAAACGATTTCAAATAACATATTGTTGTTAAGTTCAATAATGCATGTTTTGCTCAGGGATGTATTGCTATCGCTAATTGGGGAGGGCTCTTATTCATTTATGCATGATATGCTGAATTAATATCTTTTGAAATGTACGTATTTATAACATGTATATATGAATAAGAGCCCCTTAATTAGCGATAGCAATACATCCCTAATTTTGCTGTGAGAAAAGGTCAGAAAACATATTAAAATGACAGAAGCAAACGTTTTTTTGAGCTATCAAAGACATGTAATATAATATAGCATCCATTATCCATATAGGCCTATATAGTTAAATAGCTAATGGGACATAGAAATTATATTGGAAGCTTTTATAAGATTAAAGTGTTCTATGCTTAAAATGTGATCATTTACAATAGTTAAACCTGTAATGAAACTTTTGATATTAGATATTTTTATTCAGTTTTTAACTGCATCATGTTAGAGTGATCTGTTGATTTTAAAAAATGAGTACACCTTCAAAAAGTGGTATTCATTCATATATCATAAACGTTCAAGTAAAAAGTCAATTTTAAGTGTCCTTTAAGTAAGGGAACCCCACGATCTACAAATTGTGGTTGTCTGACACCAATGGGTTACTATAAGCCCCTAATTTCTAAAAGTCGTTTTTCTCACCGTGTCTAACGGAGATTTGAAAACTACTCCTGTCTAGGCTTCATATAGTCAAAGGTGCTAATATTAAAGTTAAATATTATAAGGTCCTCGTGGTAAGCAGGGAAAACCAGGTCCAGCTGGGCCACCAGGACCTAAAAGTAAACCCACGTCAACCGGTGGAGTGGTCTACACCAGATGGGGAAGAAAACATTGTCCTAACACAGCAAAAACTGTTGAGATTTATTCTGGTAAGAAATCTACGTAATTGCAATTCATGATTTAGCTACAACCAGTATAGGTTTAAGCAAGTAAAATAAGCATGGATGAGCGATAAAACTTCAGTTTCCTATTTTGAGTATTTTTAATGGTTTCAAATACAAAGAAATCGGCTTTCTATTTATTTTAAGATGAAGTCTTTCCCTTATGCTTGCATCAACTCACAATCAAACAATAGACTCCTTGACTTCAAATTTCATGTCATAACTTCTTTATCACTTGTTTTTTTGCCCGACCTGCTAATGTTGACAATCACCCGACCAATCATCAAACTTTTTTACAGAGGCTCCCCTCGTCCCTTACGCCTGTGTCAAATGCTTTGATGAATGTCGTTGTTTAATCTTGTTAACGCTCTTGATTTTGTTTATTTTACTCGTGTGTGAATCAGGCATAAGAATTTCATTAAATATGTTCATTAGAATTTTTTATGTGCTCAGAACGTAACACTGGACAGTCATATTTCTTTTTAATTGTAAATGTTCGACGCAATATACGCGAATCGACATTTGTATCATAACCTATGTTCTTGTAAAACCAAGTAGTCGTATTCATTAGTTGTAGTTCTAAAGCATCTTTTATGAAAAACAGGAGCAATCGGGGATCGTATTATACACAGTGGGAGTGGATCAAATTATCTCTGTTTACCTTGAATCCAATAAACGACAAATACGCTGCTGGTGCTCAGAGTCATGCAATCATTTATGGTACTGAATACAAGATTACTTCTGCTGAGAAACATATATTTCCAAATCCAAACTTACACGACCGAGATGCTCCGTGTGCTGTATGTCATGCTAAGTCACGTGGTAGTCACATAATGATTCCAGCGCGCAATATCTGTCCTTCAGGGTGGACTATGGAATACAAAGGTTATTTAATGGCTGAACATTATACTCACAAGCGATCTGAGTACATTTGTGTTGATGGCAAGCCAGAAGCAATGTATGGATCTCATGCAAATAGAGATGGAGCATTGCTGTATTTTGTTGAAAGCCATTGTGGTTCTTTACCTTGTCCACCATATATTCATGGAAAGGAACTGACCTGTGTAATATGTACTCAGTGATTTAAGGGTTTTAATGCACATATGTACGTATTTTGGCATTCTCTGTAGTAACACTAATTAAACATTATTTTGAATTTATTTAATAACCACATCAGTGACGTCACCATTATTTTCCTTTAAATATCCTTACATGCACTTAAGTTCAATGATAAAAATACAAGAAGAAATGTTGATCACCAACAATTAATGACTTGGTTTCTTTATATGTAGTAAACGTAAGTTCTGAACGTTTTGCACTGATGACGTCTGTCTATAATTCAGTCTTTATCTCATGGTACTCATGGTAAAGCAAAGTGCATAATTGTCTGGTATTTTCTGTAACCTCTTTTACCAACATCACTTGTGATTGATATGCAGAAGTTTTCCTTTTAGTATTTGTTACCCTTTTCGAGGGGAAAGCTTGTTAGGTTTTTTTAGATTTTAGGAAAATATTTTAAGCAAGAGTTATTTAAAGAAATGCGACGAGGACAAAACCAATTTTCCAAAAAGCCGCAACTAAAGGAGAAGTAGTCAGCGTGTTCTTTGTATAGTTTGAAGAATTTTGTTAACTTGTCTTCCAGTCCTGTCCTTTAAGCTGTTTTCAAAGGCAACAGATCGAAATTCGATTGATTCGAAAACCAAAGTGTGTAGAAATGGCAAAACTCGACAACTTGTCGTTTTTCCAAAATTTAGAAACTAACATGCAGTAGAAATGGTGATGGAAAACAAAATATCGTCACTTAATTAAGCAATCTTACATTACTCCCAATTGCAGTCATGCATTTAAATATTAGTGTGCTAAAACGGAAAAACAGGCGCAGAAAGTTGCACAGGCCGCAGATGCAATTTCTCTTGGAAGTAAGGGTCTGCGCACACGTTTAAATTTGGAGACTTTGCTTTGATCTTTTTTTCTCTTCTATAAAGCGTTGCGGTTAAAAAAATTGAAGTTTGTCCCCTGGTAGCTACACTAATTAATATAATGACTAACCAACCTTGCCTTTTTTAGCGCAAATTCAAAATGTTAATAAGATTTATCTACGTATTTTTATTACAAATTTATTGTAAAAAAACCCCCGGCTACTTCGCCTTCATTTATTCTGTCATGGTAAGGAGTATTACCTCAATTGACTTTTCTATACCTAAACTTTTCAACAAACCAGTGAATTTCGATTTCATATTCTTAAGATAATTACCGTTATCATGTTTTGTTGGTATGACGGCCTGCATATTAAATGTTGGTTTAACATCACCAGTTCTAAAGACGATTATCTTCCAAACAATGTTGTTAAGAAAATTTGGATGCTTCTTATTACAAGCTTTCATGACGTCATCATCGTGTAAAGGTTCATATGTCACTAATTCTGGGTATTTATTACGAAAATGGTTAAATGTTTCAATCTGTCTTTTTCCATTTTCCATAACATTGCAATGTTACAAAAACTGCTGTAATTGTTTTTCTTCTTGCACATATTCAAAAAATGTTTAAAACAGGAAGATACTTCTTCATTTTTCAAACCGACCTCCAGATAAATGATTCGAGGGTTGTTTTCACAAGCATCTCCTGTTTTGCTGTAAATGAAAAAAGCAGCTGTAGATTTTGCATGTATAAAAGTAAAATTAAAAAAGGTACGCATAGCGTACATGCGGGTAACTTGAATTGATGAATAGATGGCAATGTCGTGAAATGAATTGATGAAAACGGTCTAAATAATATTATACGTTGTTTTCGCTACTTTCTGAGTATCTTTATGGAATAGAAGTAGATTGCCAACGATTCAGTTGTGATTGCAATTAACTCATATTTAATCTTGAATGCTAAGGCTTCTCTAAAAGCAAGAATTTCATTTTATTATTACCCACAACTGGCTCGTACGTAGCTATAATACCTTTAAATTTCATTGTCGTGTTCAACCTTTTTTTAAAAATCCACACTGTCTGTGACATTATTAGTAATTATAGAAACTTGAAAGAAAAATCCTCCTTTGCTTAACTTTTTTTTCTATTTAAACTATAAACTCATTAAAACAGAGGGACATGGTTGAGGATTGCACGCACAAAGTAGAAGATATTCATTTGTCGAAAATGACCAAGCTCCAAGCTACGCTATTTCAAACATAGAAGTTAAATTATTTTGACGAGATAATTTGTAATCATCATTTTAAAGTCAAACCGGGTGTTCTGCTCAAATTAAGTAACTCAATCGCTATTGAAATATTGAAAGGTAATTTACAGCGAAAGTTCCTTCAAAAGTTCAACAATGTTTGCACATCCTTTTAGCAAATACTGAGAGGGTTTGTATACTATACCATACGTATGGTAAAAAGTCAGGTACTTGACGAACAAGACCAGTTAGGTGATAAAAAAATAGAGACACAAGTCAGTTGACAAACTTTATAGATACCAATTATATTCATTGTTGTAAAATAATCTCAGACCAGAGCAAACACTCAGTTGTATATTAACATGGAAGTCAGATGATCTTGACTCTGACTAAATTATCAGTCTTGCATTTGTTTGCCTAAACAATTTGCATATATTTCAAATCCAAACTCACACGACCGAGATGCTACATGTGTTGTTTGTCATGCTAAGTCACGTGGTAATCACACAATGATTCCAGCACGCAATATCTATCCTTCAGGATAGACTATGGAATACAAAGGTTATTTAATGGCTGCGCATCATAGTCACAAGCGATCTGAATACATTTGTGTTGATGGCAAGCCAGAAGCAATGTATGGATCTCATGCAAATACAAATGGAGCATTGCTGTATTTTATTAAAGGCAATTGTGGTGCTGATTTATCTTGTCCACCATATTCTCAATGAAAGGAGCTGACCTGCGTAATCTGTACTCAATGAATTATAGGGTCTTAATGCACATATGTATTTATTTTGCCATTAGCTGTAGCAACACAAATAAAACAGAAATTTTAATTCATCTACTAATAAGATATCTGTGATGTCACCATTATTTTTCCTTTAATATCCTTACATGCTCTTAAGTACTATGATGAAAATAGAAGAATAACTGTTGATCACCAACAATTTATGACTTGTTATCTTTTTATGCAGTAAACGTAAGTTCTGCACGTTTTGCACTGATGATGTCCGTCTGTTTATAGTTCTGTCCTTATCTCATGGTACTCATGGTAAAGGCAAAGTGCATAATTGTCTAATATTTTCTGTAACATCTTTTTACCAGTGTCACTTGCGATTGGTTATGAAAAAGTTTAATTTGTAGTGTTTGGTTAGTCTGTTCCAAATATATCTCGCTAGGCCTATTTTCTGATTTTAGGGAAAAGATTTTATGCAGGAACTAATTAACGTAATTTACTGAGGACAAAATGTGAAATTTCCAAACAAGACGAGAAATAAAAGAGAAATGGCAGAAGTTGCCAGCGTGTTTTCGTATAGTTTGAAGGATTGTATCGCCCAGTTGTTCTGTTGTTTTCTTTAAGCCGTTTTGAACTGTCAACAGATAGAAATTCAAATTGTGTGCAGATTGCAAAACTTGACAAATTGCCATTTTCCTCACCTTTAGAAACTTACATAGAGATGGTGACAAAAACAAAACAATATCACGTAATCAATGGTTAGGTCACTTTTAGTTGCAGTCATGTATGCAAAATTTATTTGCAGTACACAGCATAATTTATGCACAAATTATTGCATAAGGTATCTTCCCTAAAATTTGCTGGAATTGGTAAAATAATCACTGCAAGTTTTCCTTTGAAATCAAACAGTCCGCAGACTTAACTTTTTGTTAGTTATTTCTGCATCACTGGTGGATCCAAAGCACGTCATAATAAATTACTGCAGCACACTTTAGCGTATATTTACATTTCTAAATGCATTACAGTCTGAGTAATTTGAATTTAAAATTGAGGAGCTATAATTTACTTTGACGTACAATGGATCCGCTACTGGTATGCATGCAAGCTACATTTTGAAACTTTAGTTTGACTTGTTTCTATTCTTTTGTGTTTTTTTTCTTTTCTTTACTTTTCGTTGCAGTTTCTGTCATGGTAGTTATTACAAAAGTGCATCAATAAGCTCAATCTTCTGATACCTTGTGATATCACCTTGAATAATTAAACTCATCGAATCAATCTTTTATTTAGGTCTCTCTTATACTTTTCAGGGCAAATTAAAAATGTTAACAAAATTTATAAACACATTTGTTATCTATGAAAACTTTAATGTTCGCCTGTAATTTGTGTTGATAAGAATCAGGTCAATTTATCTTTTGATATCTACACATATTAATATATATCGTCATATCAACTAAAAAACAACAAGTTTTAAAATACAATTTTTTACATGGGATTAGTGTGTATGATGTCTATAGAGAAAAACTATTTTCAATGAAAATGACAATTTGGTGTATAGAATGCTAAATATTTATCATTATTTGAACTACTTTATTAATTTAATTCATTGTGTCTATAAATTTGTGAGGCTACCCACATGTACAAAATGCTTACCTATTTTGAATTGCTGTATGCCATCATCACTGCTAACCAATCTACACCGAGCACCATATAAAGCATGTACACAATGCGTACCTATTTTAAATTGCTGCATGCCATCATCATTGGTTATATATCTCCACCGAGCACCATATGAAACATGTACACAATGCGTACCTATTTTGAATTGCTGTATGCCATCATCACTGCTAACAAATCTCCACCGAGCATCATCATTAGTTACAAATCTCTAACGAGCACCATTTGAAGCAAAAAGTTGTTTGCTCAATTGGCGTTTATTCAGTAAGAAAACAGCCTGGAAAACTGTTGCCTCGTTTAAATGTTTTTCAGCAGCGGTTTTTTCATATCTTTTACGCCCGATCATCCCATAACCTTATTACTAAGACTGAAATGATAATACTCAGAGTTATTTTAGATATTTGAGTTTTCCCATAATAGGACCATTTTAAAATTGTGGAAGGTAAAAGGATTACAGTATGAAAGACATGCATTACTTATATTGTCCTGCAATTTAGCGTATGTAATATGGAGGTATAAAATTTACAGTAAAACATGAATAAAGTCCAGCATTCACCTTAAATTTTGAATAAAATTGACTGCCCTTCATTGATCTTTTAAGTGCACCTCTACATAATAAATAAATTAAACTCTGCACTCACTTAACTGTGAAACCTGGTGCTATATGCATATCTAATAAGATTACTTACTGCCCTTATTGATTAGAAAACGCATTCGACTAGTACTGGAAGCCATCATGCCAATTGACAACTTACATCCAACACCAATCCACATTGATTACTGCGGAATAAGACCAAATAAAATAAAAAACGCATCCCACGAAGGGTTAAGAAGCCACATGCATTGTTCAAACTGCAGAAAGAAGAATGTCTCTTAAAGAGCAGCATCCAAATAAATATTTTCAGTAGTTAATGAATGACAGAAACATTTGCTTTAAAAGCTTTCATAAATACGAGTTCACCTTTTAATGTTCATTGCATAAACAAAATTGGTGAGGTGGGACGCCAGATCCCAACCTTTGAAGTAATGGAAAATCGCTCAACAAATATTCAAAATCTTAAATTAAACTGGGGGGAGGGTCTCTACAATTAATCCTTTCTGTCACGTGTCTTATAAAATTAACAATTACCTTCCCCTATCAGATAAAAACAAGATCAAGGAGCAAATTATCTAGTTACTTCTTTCCCTTTTTCATTATCAATAAGGTCGATATCTGAAACAGGTACTTACAAAATATTTATGAATATTGGTTTAAATGTCAGCTCAGCGAAGACGAACCAGCTGGTTTTTTTTCTAAGAGAAATTAATTACATTTGAACAAATCTTGTGTCTGTCAGAGTAAACAAAACTTTGAATGTACATCGTTTGGCTATGATCAATGACTTAAACAAAATTGAGAGGAATCTTCAATTTAAGACTATGTAGTATGCACTACTACCAAAATATTTGGATGTATAGAATATTGAAATCATCATTGATTCCACGATCTTTCATGAGAATGACAAGGCGTTATCAATGAAAAGTTTGTCACTTAAACCTTATGCCCCCACAGTCATTTGCTTATTCTGTAATGGCCAAAACATAACCAAAATATGCAACAAGATAGACGATTTTTAACAGATGATATTTATCTGCGCATGCGCAGCAGCTACTCTTAAAAACTGTGGCTACTTCTCACACACTCACAAACAAAAAATTACTGTCGTATCTATTTGTCTATGCTAACACCAAACTTTTTAGTTTATTTTTTCCAGTATACTAAGATGAAATTGACATTGGGTTTAAGTCAAACTCGATGATAACGGATTCTTTATTATAAAAGAAAAATAATAAATCGCGTGCACTTATTGATCTAGCTTGTTTTATAATAGCCTCAGCGTACAAAACAATATGATCACTATCAATTAAATCAATCTCAACCTTCGATCTCTAGTTCTCTCAAAGGTATTCATGATTTTCATAAGCCTGTGAAAACACGGTTATATGTTTTTTTTTTTATGAAATATTTACAGAATGTGAAATTATACTTAAACCATGCAATGTTCTTATCTTCTTGTTAAATCTTCCTGTTTATAATTTAGTACTAAAAGGACATCAGTTTATTAGCAAGGATTGGCGTAATTAGAATGGCGTAACTACTACAAGATCTAACAAAAAAACTGAATAGTTTGGAAAACGTCACTAAAGTCATCTGCTTGCAAGATCTGCAAAAACATTTGTTAGAAATAGTTGGACCAATGGTCTATCTGACAGTGAAATTATCGCCAACAATGACAATTTTGAATATGAGAATTGTGTTACTTTCCAAATTTATTAAAATTGCTTGCACACGAAAATGAGGCATTTAAAAAGCAATCACAACACACAGATTCAAATTATGGCTCGTTGTTCAAAAGTGCCGATTATATAAATATTTTTTTTGAATGCTGTTTCATACTCCTCATGAATTATGCATAATTTTGAGCTAAAGATAATCCAAATAGTGAAATATTAATAATTAATAAAGATTTGCTTAGCGTTCTTTTATGTTTTTGACAATTTTGCAAAACTTTTTTGGCTTGAACAATATGTGCCATGTTTTAACCCTATGAGTTCAAATTCCTTTATAACTAAGTCATTTTTGTGCGCAATTTATTTCAAAAATGCTTCTCGGTAACACAATTCTCATTCTAGAAATTGTTACTATTTACAAATATTTTATTGTCAGATGACTCATTGGAAGTTTAACAATCTATTCCATCAATGGATTTTGCAAATCCTACAACCTGACAGCATAAGCAACGTTTCCTTATCCATTAAATTTTTTTCATACACCGTGTAGTCCACTGATACAGTCGTACTACGTATGATACTATGTTAATTTTTCTTTATTCACGTACTATGAAAAGAATAAATTTCTAACAAAATAAATAATAATGTCCTCAAATTATCAATTCGAGACTAAAATTTGCTGGCAGGCTACGCTACTGACTGAGTATTTATCGCCAACTATATCCTCACCGTTAAGCAAATAACCAATTGCTTCTTGCAAATGTTTATCAGTAAACATAAATTCCCTCACATGCAGAGGCGTAACTAGAACGTGATTCTGGTGTGTATATTCATATATTACGTTGTGCCATATTAATTTCTTTTGAAAGTATTTTGAATTCAAAAGAAATCAGTAGGGCACAGCTGAATATATGAATGTAGACCTCGTTCTAGAATTAACGTTCTAGTTACGTCTCTGCTCACATGAACTTTGTACTCTTTATTAAATGAATAGACAACCATTGACATTCAACGATCTTTAATATACAGCATAAACAAAACATAGCATACACATTACATGAAACAAAGTGACCATAACCTTCGTCCAAAGTTAATAAAATAACAACGACGTTGCATGATTACTATGTTGATGCACATTGTAACATTACAGTACTCCAGCTGTTTGTGTGAGTGCAATCTATTAAAAGAATAGAAAAGAAGAACTGAAGGAAGTTTCAATGAAACTAAAGACCGAGTCAATCAAAGACAAAGGAGACGCTTGACAAATTAAACTTAATGCATTAATATGGCTACACAATGCCCAACGCAGAATTATAAATAAAGGGTGTTTCAATGGATAGTTCTTGTTTTAACTAGAAAAATCATTGTGGAGCTGAAGCAAAGCATTTTCACTCTTTGTCTCTGAATAAATTTGATGGCAGCCATCGATTGGATGAAATATGAAAACAAAGCATATGATTGGTTGAAACTGACTAAAAATATCACAGACTGCATTGCAAGAGTTTACTTGCAACTGCAATAGCTGACAGAGAGGATACGTTTTCGTCTTATAAAATAACGTAAAACAATGTACATCGCTACTCTCCAGATTATTTTACTTTTTCTAATAAAAGTCATTTACTGCAATTATAATGATGACAAAAAAGCCATGTTGAAGTTAAAAGACAAAGCAAAAGAAAGGTTTGTGGTAATCACTTGTATTATCATTTGATATTTTAGATACGATATATTGTGTTGAAAGGTGGCATATTTTATGATTACTAATCATATTTAGGTTGTATTGAAGTACCCTATAAAGGAAGTACTAAAAATCTTAATCAGTTGAAAACATTTTTCCGTACTCACACTAGCTCACACATACACGTACACTAGTACGCACTCATTAAATAGGGATTTGTATGATTTTTTTGTTTTGAACTCTTTTTGTACCCTCAATTTTTGAGTTTGTTTTGCCATTGCTCAATTGTTCGAGGGAGTTTAATTTCACAAGCCTTGGTAGCTGAAGATTAGAGAAACTTGAAATGATTCAGAGAGATTTAACTAAGAGAGTATTTATCATCTAGCACATTTACTTAGCATTTTCTCAACATTCGGACTTTGCATGGATAGAAAATACACAAAATTACTTCGTATGGCGCTTAATGAAAGATTTATGAGTTTCTTTTCAAATTTGTACTCCTTTCCATATTTTAAATCATTTCACGTTTCACTGAATTTAAGCTAGCCGCGAATTATCACTTTGTAGTTACGACTTTATCTGTTTGTTAAGTATTTTTAAGAGACAGAATGGCAAAGTAACAAGTTGTCGAGGACTTCCAGGACTTCCAGGCAGAGATGGTGAGTTATACAACATTCTTTACTGTTGAAGTTGTGAAATATTTTAAGAAAATGTTTACTACCACAACGTAGCTCTATTACTACTGAATCTAATTTTTCTAAAATAACATTACAATTTAGGACGTGATGGCAGAGATGCTTCATTGCGTGGTAAGTTTTTTTTAACAAAGGTCATTTTCTTTTTATCTGCAGTGAATGTGCGGTTAAATGTATTTCCTGGAAACTACGTTAAATCTTTTATTAACTCTTATACCCCTCTTAGCTAAATAAACTATTTAATCGATTTTGACAAAATAGCTTATAAACTCGTATAAAGTAAATTACTGCCTTTTTGGCTGCGTGCCATTTACGAGTCCAGATCCTGATTTTATGAACTCTAATTACTTAGATGTTTAATTCAAACGGTTCGCGGAATATTTTTAACGAGTTATTAGTTTTATTATTCACGCTTTAGTTAGACGCGTTAATATTATATTCGCCAAAGCATAATGTCATCGCTAAAGTGCGATAGTTATTCTGACTGGTTTGATATTACGTGACTAAATGTATAGTTTTAGATGACTTGTGACACCATAGATTGCCTGTGCTCTTGGTTTTGGAAAAATTTGCCTCAATCTTGAGATAATTTTTTAGAGGTTCCAAATAATAAACGCAATGCTAAGAAATTGATTACACCAACAATGCATCGAAATAAACAACATGAGGTTTCAAAACTTGCATTTCACAATACCTATGAACCATTATGAATGTATGACATAGCACAATAATCATATTTATACATAACACAAGAATCTCTTTACACTTGCATTTGCTCATCACAAAATAATAAATGATATATGAAAATCATAAATATTGTTATTAATTATGAAAAATTTGACGCTTTCAAAAGTTGATAACATTCTTAAACAGTCTCTAAGCGTTATAAATAAGCGATTTCAAATGACATGTTGTTGTTACGTTCAATAAATGCACGTTTTGCTAAGGGATGTATTGCTATCGCCAGTTAGGTGAGGGGCTCTTATTCATTTATGCATGATATGCTGAATTAATATCTTTTGAAATGTATTGTTATCTACGGATTTATAACATGCATATATGATTAAGAGCCCCCTTAATTAGCGATAGCAATACATCCCTGATTTTGCTGTGAGAAAAGTTCAGAAAACATATTAAAACGCCAGAAGCAAACGTTTTTTGAGCTAACAAATACATGTAATATAATTTAGCATCCATTATCCATATAGGCTTACATAGTTAAATATTTAATGGGACATAGAATTTATATTGGAAGATTTTATAAGATTAAAGTGTTCCATACTCAAAATATGATCATTTACAATAGTTAAACCTGAAATGAAACTTTTTGATGTTAGATATTTTTATTCAGTTTTTACTTGCATCATATTATTTAATCATCAGAGTGATCTGTTGATTTTAAAAAATGAGTGCACCTTCAAAAAAGTGGTATTCATTCATATATGATAAACGTTCAAGTACGAAACCAATTTTTAAGTGTCCTTTATGTAAGGGAACCCCACGATCTACAAATCGTGGTTGTCTGGACACCAATTGGTTCCTATAAGCCCCCTAATTTCTAAAAGTCGTTTATTTCACCGTGTCTAAAGGACATTTGAAAACTACTCCTGTCTAGGCTTCATACAGTCAAAGGTGCTAATATTAAAGTTAAATATTATAAGGTCCTCGTGGTAAGCAGGGAAAACCAGGTCCAGCTGGGCCACCAGGACCTAAAAGTAAACCCACGTCAACCGGTGGAGTGGTCTACACCAGATGGGGAAGAAAACATTGTCCTAACACAGCAAAAACTGTTGAGATTTATTCTGGTAAGAAAATCTACGTAATTGCGATTCATGATTTAGCTACAACCAGTATAGGTTTAAGCAAGTAAAATAAGCATGTATGAGCGATAAAACTTTTGTTTTCTATTTTGAGTATTTTCTAATGTTTTCAAAACAAAGAAATCGGCTTTCTATTTATTTTAAGATGAAGTCTTTCCCTTATGCTTGCATCAACTCACAATCAAACAACAGACTTCTTGACTTCAAAGTCACGTCATAACTTCTTTAACACTTGTTTTTTTGCCAGACCTGCTAATGTTGACAATTCACCCGACCAATCATCAAACTTTTTTACAGCGGCTCCCCTCATCCCTTACATCTGTGTCAAATGCTTTGATGAATGTCGTTGTGTAACCTTCTTAACGCTCTTGATTTTGTTTACTTTACTCGTGTGAATCAGACATAAGAATTTTATTAAATATGCTCATTAGAATTTTTTATGTGCTCAGAACGTAAAACTGAGCTGTCATATTTCTTTTTAACTGTAAATGTTTGACGTAAAATACGCGAATCAACCTTTGTATCATAAGCAATGTTCTTGTAAAAACGAAGTAGTCGTATTCATTAGTTGTAGTTCTAAAGCATATTTTTATGAAAAACAGGAGCAATCGGAGGAGCGCATTATTCACACAGTGGGAGTGGATCAAATTATCTCTGTTTACCGTTGAATCCAATATACGAGAAATACGCTGCTGGTTATCAAAGTAACGCAATCATTTATGGTACTGAATACGAGATTACTTCTGCTGAGAAATATATATTTCCAAATCCAAACTTACACGACCGAGATGCTCCATGTGCTGTATGTCATGCTAAGTCACGTGGTAGTCACATGATGATTCCAGCGCGCAATATCTGTCCTTCAGGGTGGACTATGGAATACAAAGGTTATTTAATGGCTGAACGTCATGGTCACAAGCGATCTGAGTACATTTGCGTTGATGGCAAGCCAGAGGCAATGCATGGATCTCATGAAGATAAAAATGGAGCATTGCTGTATTTTGTTGAAGGCCATTGTGGTTCTTTACCATGTCCACCATATGTCGGTGGAAAGGAGCTGACCTGTGTAGTCTGTACTCAGTGATTTAAGGGTTTCAATGCACATTTGCACGTATTTTGGCATTATCTGTAGTAAAACTGAAAAAACATAATTTTGAATTTATGTAATAACTAGATCAGTGACGTCACCATTATTTTCCTTTAAATATCCTTACATGCACTTAAGTTCTATGATAAAAATACAAGAAGAAATGTTGATCACCAACAATTAATGACTCGCTTTCTTTATATGTATAAACGTAAGTTCTTAACGTTTTGCACAGATGACGTCTGTCTATAATTCAGTCTTTATCTCATGGTACTCATGGTAAAGGCAAAGTGCATAATTTTCTGTTATTTTCTGTAACCTCTTTTTACCAACATCACTTGTGATTGAATATGCAGAAGTTTACTTTTCAGTATTTGGTTGGCCTGTTCGAGGGGAAAGCTTGTTAGGCCTTTTTTCTTCAGATTTTAGGGAGAAAAAAAGCCGCTACTAAAGGAGAAGTAATCAGCGTGTTCTTTGTATAGCTTGAAGAATTTTTTTAACTTGCCTTCCAGTCCTGTCCTTTAAGCTGTTTTTAAACGCAACAGATCGAAATTCTATGGATTCGAAAACCAAAGTGTGTAGAAATGGCAAAACTATACAACTTGTCGTTTTTCCCAAAATTTAGAAACTAACATGCAGTAGAAATGGTGATGGAAAACAAAATATCGTCACTTAATTAAGCAATCCTTACATTACTTCCAATTGCAGTCATGCATTTAAATATTAGTGTGCAAAAATCGGAAATAAACAGGGGCAGAAAGTTGCACAGACCGCAGATGCAATTTCTCTTGGAAGTAAGGGTCTGCACACACGTTTAAATTTGGAGACTTTACTTTTATCTTTTTCTTCTCTTCTATAAAACGTTGCGGTTAAAAGGGATTTGAAGTTTGTGCCATGGTAGCTACACTAATTAAGTTAATTAATAACCTTGCCTTTTTTTAGGGCAAATTCAAAATGTTAATAAGATTTATCTACGTATTTTTTATGACAATTTATTGTAAAATAAACGGCTACTTCGCCTTCATTTATTCTGTCATGGTAAGGAGTATTACCTCAATTGATTTTTCTATACCTACACTTTTCAACAAACCAGTGAATTTCACTTGCATATTCTTAAGAAAATTACCGTTATCATGTTTTTTTGGTATGACGGCCTGCATAGCAAATGCTGGTTTAGTATCACCAGTTCTAGAGACGATTATCCTCAAAACAATGTTGATAAGAAAATTTGGATGCTGCTTGTTGCAAGCTGTCATGACGTCATCATCTTGTAAAGGTACATACGTCACTAATTCTGGGTATTTATTACGAAAATGGTTAAATAATTTCAATCTGTCTTTTTTCCATTTTCCATAACACTGCAATGTTACAAAAAACTGCTGTAATTGTTTTTCTTCTTGCACATATTCCAAAAAATGTTTAAAACATGAAGATACTTCTTCATTTTTCAAACCGACTTCCAGATAAATGATTCGAGGGTTGTCTTCACAAGCATCTCCTGTTTTTGCTGTAATGAAACAAAAAACAGCTGTAGATTTTACATGTATAAAAGTAAAATTAAAAAAAGGTACGCATAACGTACATGTGGGTAACTTAAATCGATGAATAGATGGCAATGTCGTGAAATTAATTGATGAAAACGGTCAAAATAATGTTATAAATTGTTTTCGCTACTTTCTGAATAATATCTTTATGGAATAGAAGTACATTGCAAACGATTCAGTTGTGATTGCAATTAACTCATAGTTAATCTTGAACGCAAAGGCTTCTCTAATAGCAAGTATTTTATTTTATTCATTACCCACAGCTTTAAACTTCATTGTCATGTTCAATCTTTTTTAAAAAATTTACACTGACTTTGACATCATTAGTAGTTATAGAAACTTGAAAGAAAAATCCTCCTTTGCTTAACTTCTTTTCTGTTAACTATAAACTCATTAATACAGAGGGACATGGTTGAGGATTGCACGCACAATGGAGAAAATTTTCATTTTTGTCGAAAATGACCAAGCTCCAAGCTACGCTATTTCAAACATAGAAGTCAAATTATCTGGACGAGATAATTTATGATCATCATTTTACAGTCAAACCGGATGTTCTGCTCAAGTGAAGTAACGCAATTTCTATTGAAATATTGAAAGGCAATTTACGGAGAAAGTTCTTTCGAAAGTTCAACAAAGTTTGCACATCCTTTTAGCAAATACTGATATGGTTTGTATACTATACCATAGGTATGGTAAAAAGTCAGGTACCTGACAAACAAGACCAGTTACGTAATAAAAAATAGAGACACAAGTCAGTTAATAAACTTTATAGATACTAATTACATTCATTGTTGTCATATAATCTCAGGCCAGAGGAAACAACTCAGTTGTATATTAACATGGAAGTCAGATGATCTTTTAAGACTAAATTGTCAGTCTTGCATTTGTTTCCATAAACAAATTAGAAACTATGAAAGTTAATCAGAAAATCTACGTAATTGCGACTCATGATTTAGCTACGACCAGTATAGGTTTAAACAAGTAAAATAAGAATGTTTGAGCGAGAAATGCTTGTTTCCTATTTTGAATATTTTCTAATGGTCTAAAATACAAAGAAATCAACTTTCTATTTGTTTTAAGATGAAGTCTTTCCCTTATACTTGCGTAAACTCACAATCAAACAACAGACTTCTTGACTTCAAATTTCACGTCATAACTTCTTTATCACTTGTCTTTTTGCCCGACTTGCTAATGTTGACAATTCACACGACCAATCATCAAACTTTTTTAAAACGGCTCCCCTCGTCCCTTACGCCTATGTCAAATGCTTTGATGAACGTGGTTGTTTAATCTTGTTAACGCTTTTGATTTTGTTTGTTTTACTCGTATGAATCAGGCATAAGAATTTTATTAAATATTCTCATTAGAATTTTTTATGCGCTCAGAACGTAAAACTGAGCTGTCATATTTCATTTTAACTGTAAATGTTCGACGTAATATACGCGAATCGACCTTTGTATAATAACCTAAGTTCTTGTAAATTTCAATTTGTCGTATTCATTAGTTGCAGTTCTAAAGCATATTTTTATGAAAAACAGGAGCAATTGGGGGATCGTATTATTCACATAGTGGGAGTGGATCAAATTATCTCTGTTTACCATTGAATCCAATATACGTGAAATATGCTGCTGTTGCTCAGAGTAAAGAACTCATTTATGGTACTGAATACGAGATTACTTCTGCTGAGAAACATATATTTTCAAATCCAAACTTACACAACCGATATGCTACGTGTGCTGTATGTCATTTTAAGTCAGGTGGTAGTCACATGATGATTCCAGCGCGCATCATCTGTCCTTCAGGGTGGACTATGAAATACAAAGGTTATTTAATGGCTGCACATCATGAACACAAGCGATCTAAGTACATTTGTGTTGATGGCAAGCAAGAAGCAATATACTTGGATCTTATGCAAATGAAGCATAATTGTGTCTTGTTAAAGGCAATTGTTGTGTTGTTGCTTTACCTTGTCCACCATATATTCATGGAAAGGAACTGACCTGTGTAATCTGTACTCAGTGATTTATTGGGTTTTAATGCACATATGTACGTATTATGCCATAAGCTGTATCAACACAAATAAAACATAATTTTTAATTTATTTGATAGTAACACATCAGTGACGTAACCATTATTTTCCTTTAAATATCCTTACACGCTCTTAAGTTCTATGATGAAAATACAAGAATAATTTTTAATCAACAAGAAATTATGACTTGTAAGTGTTTTATGTAGTAAACGTAAGTTCTGAACGTTTTGCACAGATGATGTTTGTCTGTCTATAGTTTTGTCTTTATCTCATGGCACTCATGGTAAAGGCAAAGTGCACAATCGTCTGATATTTTCTGTAACGTCTTTTTACCAATGTCATTTGCGATTGGTTACGAAAAATTTTAATTTGTAGTGTTTGGTTAGCCTGTTCGAAAGATATCTCGCTAGGCCAACTTTCTGATTTTACGGAAAATATTTTATGCAGGAATTAATTAACGTAGTTTACTGAGGACAAAAGCAAAAAGAAATGGCTGAAGTTGGCAGCGTGTTTTTGTATAGTTCGAAGGCTTGTGTTGCCCAGTTATTCTGTTATTTGCTTTGAGCCGTTTTGTTACCTTTGAAAAATTTAATGTTCGCATGTACTTTGCGTTGATAAGAATCAGGTCAATTTATTTTTGATATCTACGCTTATCAATATATATCGTCATATCAACTAAGAAACGACCAATTTCAAAATATAATACTTTACATGGGATCAGTGTGTATGATGTTTATAGCAAAATACTATTTTTAATAAAAATGAGACGTATTCGTTCATAGAATTTGCAAGATATTTTTTAATATATGAGCGACGTCACAGTTTTCTGTCATGCAGTCTGAGCGATGACATTTAAGAAATGCAAAAGTTTTGACAGTTGTCGGGTAATTTCAATGAACAGTGAGCACAAAACAGTTTTTCAGATTTTGAACAAGTTTGGTGTAAAGAATATTAAATATTTATCATTATTTCAACTACTTTAATAATCTATTTCATTGTGTCTATAAATTTGTGAGGCTGCCCACACGTACACAATGCGTACCTATTTTGAATTGCTGCATATCACCATAACTGCTTACAAATCTACACTGAGCACCATAAAAAGCATGTATACAATGCGTACCTATTTTAAATTGCTGTATGCCATCATCACTGCTAACAAATCTACACCGAGCACCATATAAAGCATGTAGACAATTCTTAACTATTTTAAATTGCTGCATGCCATCATCATTAGTTATATATCTCCACCGAGAACCATTTGAAACATGTACACAATGCGTACCTATTTTGAATTGCTGTATGCCACCATCACTGCTTACAAATCCCCACCGAGCACCATTTGAAGCAAAAAGTTGTTTGCTCAATTGGCGTTTATTCAGTAAGAAAACAGCCTGGAAAACTGTTGCCTCGTTTAAAAGTATTTCAGCAGCTGTTTTTTCATATCTTTTACGATCGACATCCCATAACTTATTACTAAGATTGAAATGATAATACTCAGAGTTATTTTAGATATTTGAGTTTTCCCATTATAGGACCATTTTAAAATTGTAGAGGGTAAAAGGAATACCGTGTGAAAGACATGCATTACTTATATTGTCCTGCAA